TTTTTTTTTTTTTTTTTTTTTTTTTTTTTGGTACTGGGAATTGAACTCCAGCATTTGTGCTTTTGAAGCAGGCGGTGGAACCACTAAGCTAGATCCCAGCAAGAGTCTTTATTCTTTTTTTTGTTTTGTTTTTTTGTTTTTTGAGACAGGGTCTCACTATGTAGTTGAGACTAATTTGGAACTCACTATGTAGCCCAGGCTGGTCTCCAACTCACAGTGATCCTCCTGCCTCAGCCTTCTGAGTGCTGGGATTACAGGTGTGCACCAACATGCCCAGCTCAAGAGTCTTTATTCTTGATGTTGCTTTTCAAAGAATATTATTTCTATCTTTACCCAGTCTCTGCATCCTTTATCTACTTTTTTCTTCATTGTAAAAAAGAAAAAATATATAGAAATGATTTCCTGTTGTCATCGGCAGTACAGAAGGAGCAGCCTGTCCATCCTGCTGATTCTTTTGCATTGTTGAATTGTTGGGCAAGATTGTATTTCCAGCCATTTCCTTTAATATCATTTGGCTAATGCCTCTTACTTTGACCTTATCTTTCTCTGTGGTACAGTCAGTCCTCATGCACACTCTACATCCAAGAATTCAACCGATAGCAGATCAAGAATGTTTTTAAAGTGGTGGCGCACACCTTTAATACCAGCACTCGGGGGGGCTGAGACAGGAGTATTGCTGTGAGTTCAAGACCAGCCTGGGCTACATAGTGAGTTCCAGGTCAGTCTCAACTACATAGTGAGACCCTGTCTCAAAATAAACAATGACAAAAAAATGTTTTAAAAGAAAAACTGCATCTGTATCACACAAGCATTATCCCCTACCTAGTGCAGTACCACAGCAATTTACATGATATTAGATTTTATTTATCTCTCTAGTTGTTGTTTACCCTGGTACTTAGGATTGAATTTAGGACCTTTCACTGGGAGGCAGGAGCTGCACCACTGAGTTTTATCTTATCTAGTTTGAAGTACTAAGGACTGAACCCAGGGCCTTCACACTGACTTACATCCCCAGCCCTTTTTAAATTTTATGACAAGGTTTTATTAAGTTTCCCAGACTGGGCTTGAACTTTTCAGTGTTCCTGCCTCAGCTTCCCAGAAATGCTGGGATTACAGACATGTATCACCAGTCCTTGCTGCCTTCCTCTGTTTTAAAATTACCCTTCTCATCCTACTCTGGTACTCAGTAAACCAATTTATCAGAATTTAATGAGGAAAATGGGTGGGGTACTTGAACAGCAACAATAAAGTGATGAGCAGGATCATAGATAGAAGAGCAGACTGTTTATTCTGAAGCTCAAATCTGTGCTGAGATCTCAAAGACTATACTCCTGGGCAAGAATGGCTCGCCATTCTTGTCCATCATAACAATGTCTTTGTGCCATGTGGGCCTACCTGCAGGCACAGTGCCAGTCTTCAGAATTATATCAGTAAGTTGGAGGCAGGGTCCACTGGGGTTTGGGGGGGATGTTGTGCTGCTTCAGCTACTTCAAACAAAAATTGGAAGACAGCTGGGTGTGGTGGCGTACGCCTGTAATCCCAGCACTCAGGAAGCTGAGGCAGGAGGATCACTGTGAGTTCGAGACCAGCCTGGGCTACATAGTGAATTCCAGGTCAATCTCAACTACATAATGAGACCCTGTCTCAAAAAAAACAAAACAACAACAACAACAAAAAAAATCAAAGACATATATCACAAGTACCCATGTAGTATATATCCACTGCCAAGTAGTTTTGGTTGTCATTTTGTGTAGTTTTGCAGTACGGAAGATGGAAGCCAGGGCATACTGAGCACACGTTGAACAAGTGCTGTACCACTGCGTTATACCCAGCCCTTCATGTTTTGAAACAGGATTTTACTGAGTTGCCCAAGCTAGCATCAGTCTTTCAGCTCCTCTGCCTCAGCCTCCCAAGTGGCTGGGATTATGGGCATGTGCCACTGTACCTGGCACCTATCACACAGTTTTATAAATGTTGAAAATTTGCCATATTTGCTTCAGAATTTTTAAAGGAAATAAAAGAATCACAGATAAAATTGAAGCCTCTTTGTACCTCCGCAACCCATCCTGATGTTCAGAATTAGCTATCATAAAATTGATGTTTTCCAGACCAGGGATTTAGCTCAGTGGTGCCAACTGCCTGCCTTGCAAGTGCAAGGTCTTAAGTTTGATCCCTGGTTCCAAAAAAATAATAATAAATTGACGTGTTCCTTTCCTTCTGTGATTTTATGGATATATATTGTTTTGTTTTGGGTTGTTTGTTTGCTTTTTTTGAGACAGGGTCTTGCTTTGTAGCTGAGGCTGGCCTTGAACTCACAGCAGTTCTCCTGCCTCAGGATCCCAAGGTCTGGGATTACGGGCATGTACCACCACACCCAGCTTGGACATATATTTTATATTTTGTGAGTATATATGTCTGTGTTCAGTATAAGTGTTTTGAATAAAATAATGAACATCCACTATACCTCACTATACCAGTTTTCAACCTCTGGCCAGTTTTTTCAACTGCATTCCCACCCACTTTCCTTTCTCAAAAATATACTCAATATACTATTATCACTCCTAATAAAATTAACATTATCATACTAGATGTAGTGGAACACACCTGTCATCCCAGCGCTCAGGAAGGTGAGGCAGGAGGATTACAAAGCATTCCAGGCCAGCCTGGACCAAATAGTGAACTCAAGTCCAGCCTGAGCTACATAGAAAGATCCTATCTCAAAAAAATAAAACAAATAAATAAAAATAAAAAATATGTTCTGGCTAAGCTTGGTGGTACATGCCTATAATCCTGGCACTTAGGCAAAGGCAGGGAGAGTTCAAGTCCAGCCTGGAATGTATAGAAAGACCCTGTCTCAAAAAACAAAAAAATTTCTTCACATGGCTTTGTCCAAATAAATAACAGAATGGCAGTTTATCTGCCAGCCACACAGTGTCTAGTTGTAAATACTGTTAAAGAAATGAAGCCAGGTGTGGTGGTACACAGCTGTAATCCCAGTACTGGGGAAGCTGAGTCAGGAGGACTGCCAAAAGTTTGAGGCTAACTTGGGCTACAGAGTCAGTTCAAGGCCAGTATGACCTACATAGAGATCCTGTCTCAAAAGAAAAAGAGAGAGATTAAAGAAATGGATGTGACTATAGTCACTGTATGGCTTCAACAGAGGTGAGAGCTAAGCACCTCCCACTGATTCTTCACCACTGGCCTGGCAGGCCCACTGGGACCCGCATGGACAAGCTGGGTCTGGTTCCTCTTTATTCATCATTCCCAAAACTACTTTCGCCTTCCCTGTGCCTCCTCTCCCTAGGGCTGCTGGCATTCCAGCTCCTCTTTCAGGTTCCACACTTTAAATTTCCTCTGCTAATCATTTTCACTTGGTTCTAGCCTTAGCTAGCCAGCATCTGTTGAGTACCTAGCAAATGCCAGATATTGTCAGTGTATGAAATCTCTGCTCTCAAGGAATTTGAAATGAGAAGAAATAAAAATGGAAACCCTAAGTTCTAAAGCAAAATGAGGTGCATGCTACCTTGTAGTCCTAGTATTAGTGATTGGCTATGCAGTGGTGGCAAACCTTTTAGGGCCCAAACTACCACCCAAAACTCAGTTATTTATCGCAAGTGCCAATGCTGCAATTAAACCTAATTACTGAGGTTTTAGTTTAGAAAATACAACTCATACATTAATATCTTTTATCCGATTAAAAAAAAAAACAGTTCACCACCACTAGGCTATGAGATATTAGAAAGTCAATCACCTTGGGCATACTCTTTAGGAGGAAGATGGTGACATTTGAACTGGGCCTGTTACACTCAATCTAAGAAGGACAGAGAGGAAGAAAAGAATCTGACATCTTAATCTGCCTTGTTACCCAGACTCTAGTCCTTTTGCTAGTAAACTGAAAATGAAGCATCTGGTCATCTTTCCTTGTATTCAGAGATCAAAGCCAGGAGTGGTAATGCACGCCTGTAATCCCAGCACTCAGGAGGCTGAACCAGGAGGATCACCATTAGTTGTAGCCTGGGCTACATAGTGAGTTCAAGGCCAGCCTGAAGTACATAAATGAGACCCTGTTTAAAAAGAAAAATGAAGCATCCAGGAAAATCAGCTCTTAAAAATATCCACATCCAGCTGGGATGTGGCTCAGTGGCACTGGCCCTGCCTCGAAAGCATGAGGACCTGAGTTCAATCCCCAGTACCAGAAAAATTTTTTAAAAAATATTCACATCTGAAGTACTTCTTTTGTTCTCTCACTCTCTGCCTGGAGATCCAGTTAATCTGTTGGCGTCTCCACACCCCAGTGGAGGCAGTGAACAATCACTGGAAATGTGAGCTAACAGCTTCCAGACTTGTCTTGCACAGGGCTGTTCTGCCTATGCATGCCATAGTCCTGGAGCCCTGGGGTTGCAATAGGAGACCTCCTCCTCCTCCCTGGTCTTCCAGCTCGGCTTACAGCCGTGCCTTTTCCAGGCTTCTCACTGTACTGCCCAGGCCCATGAGCTGGCACCATGGTCTCCTGGTTTTTCTCTCTTCTGTGTATGAACAGGTTCCTGTTCCTTTAGAGAACTAGGCTGGCCCCCCACACCACTTTGCCTGTCTTCTTGCCACGTCTTGCTGCACCTACCCTAGCCCTCTTCTTGCCAGAAGTGAGCACCAGAATGGACAGTCTTCTGCAGGAATTGGAGAGGCAGGGAGGGAAGTGGACACGTTGCTGGAGAGCCTCGACTACTTAGCATCTCATGCTGTGTTACTGCATGCTGTGTGGGTTCTGGAAGTATGACGCTCCGCCCAAGAGACAGCAGAGAGCTGTACACTGTGCTGGGCTGTGAGGGTGAGGGTTACAGGTGTGGGGAAGAGCTGAGAAGAAAGCAGTCTCAGGCCTTGACACTGTCTGTCCCCAGGTTGGTATCTGTGTCTAGAGAGTCGATGATGACATTGGTTGAGCCCTGGAAGGTAGATGCTGATTGGAAAACTTGGATTCTTTTCTGGACATCCCACTCAACATACTAAGTATTACAGCCCCAGGATTGTGGGTCTCCTACCACAAGACAAGGCTATAGGGCTTTTCTGTTCTTTACCATCAGGAGACTGCGGAGTAAAAGAATAGTGAAAAAAGCAAAACCATAAGCCAGGTGTGGTGGCACACACCTATGATCCCAGCATTGAACGCTGAGCCAGAAGGATCACTGCAGGTTCAGGACCAGCCCCATTATATAGGAAGACCCTATCTCAGAAAAACAAAGCAAACAATCAGAATATAATCAGACCCCTCAAAGTGAGGGCTGTGCCCCAAGGCAGACGAGATGATGGAGACGGCGTGACATGTGTTCAGCCCAGTGGGGGCGTCCTGGAGGGAGGCGGGCGGGGCAGGGGAGGTTAAAGTATGCTGCGCTAATGCACAGAGAGGGTTGGGTGCTTTCCCCGCCCCAGCTGTGTTCTTGAACTTGGCTTCTTTGATGCTCCCAGGTTCTTTTCTTCCTTTTATTATTTAATTCCCAAAGGAAATCATGTTCAATGTAGAAAACCCAAAGCCTGCAGAGAAATGCAGCGCTGCAAGAGTGAGCAGTGGCCGTGCCCAGCTCCATGCTGCCCCACCCTCCCTGGACGCACTCCTTCCCAGGCTCCTGCGCACATGTGCAGATGTGCCTCCACCCAACTCCTGCGCTGGTCCTCTCGCCTTGGCCGTAGCTCTAACTTTTCTCTCTTTCTCACCCCATCTCAGGGATCCGGTGTGATTAAAGCTGGTTTTGCTGGTGATCAGATCCCGAAATACTGCTTTCCAAACTAGTAAGTCATTCGTGGCATCATCAGCCAGAACTTTAGGAGTCTCATTATGAGACCAGTGCTCCTCTTTTAGGAAGATTTCTCCCTCAGATCAGCCTTAGTACTCCAAACAATGAACAAGCAAGGAAAAGGAGACGTGTTTGGAGTCAGCAAAGGAAACAGATGCTACCGGGTATCATTTGTAAGGCACAGGCAATAGGCCTTGTTTTAAAAAAACCTTACTTTGATGCCACAAATTTTATCATTGATTTTTACTTTTTTTTTTTTTTTTTTTGCCCATATTTTTTTTTTTTTTTTTTTTTTTTTTTTTTTTTTTTTCTTTTTTTGCAGTACCAGGGATCAAACTCAGGATCTTATGCTTGTGAGGCAGGTGGCAACACCACTGAGCTAAATCCCCAGCCTGCTTTTTACTCACTTTTTAATTAATTAATTAATTATTTAGTGGTACTAGGGATTAAAATGAGGAACACTCTGCCACTAAGCTACATCCCTAGCCCATTTGAGCAAGGTGTGGCGGTGCACTTCTGCAATCCCAGGACTTGGGAGGCTGAGAGAATGATCACTGCAAGTTCAAGGCCAGCCTGAGGCTAATAATTTGAAGACCAGTCTGAACTATGCAGCAAGACCCTGTCTCAACCACCCCCCCCCAAAATAAATAAAATAACATTTTATTTTGAGCTGAGTGTGGTGGTGCATTCGTGTAACCCCAGCACTCAGGAGGCCAAAGCAGGAAGATCACTGAGCTGGCCTCAAACTTGGGATCCTTCTGCCTCAGCCTTCCAAGTAGCTGGGATTACAGGCATGTACCACTAGTTTCATTTTTTGAAACAGAGTTTACCATGTTGCCCAGGTCTCAAACTTCTGGGCTCAGGTAGTCCTGCTGCCTCAGCCTCTCATGTAACTGGGACTATAGGCATGGGCCACTGAGCCTGGCTAGAAGCCTTCTTTTGAAAATTCTCCTATCACCCAGGATGAGTTTTAACATTAAACTGTACAGACCATTAAACTCATTCCCATCTCAGTGAGAATGAGTTTCTTGGGGTCAGGGGTTTAGTTCAGTGGTTCCACTTCCTGCCTTGAAAACAAAAGGACTGAGTTTGATCCCTGGTACCAAAAAAAAAAAAAAGAGAGAGAGAGAGAGAATGACTTTCTTGGAGCTTTCTCCCTGAGGCAGAGACTGTGAGCAGGAGATGGTAGCTTCACTTAGTAGATGCCCTGGAATGGGGACTATAGAATCCAGTGAGTGTTTAAGTCTCAAACTCAGGACCATGCTCTTGCCAGGCAGGTGCAGCGCCACCGAGCTACATCCCCAGCCCCTCTTGCTGTTTATTTGTTTGTGGTGCTGGGGATGGAACCCATGGCCTTACACCTGCTATACCACTGAGCTACATCTCAGCCCCTTAAAAAATCTGAGTTAACCATTTAAAAATTCTTGGCTGAGGGCTGGGGATTTAGCTCAGTGGTGCCACCACCTGCCTCACAAGTGCAAGGTCCTGAGTTTGATCCCTGGTACCAAAAAAAATTTTTTTTCTTGGCTGGGCATGATAGCAGAAGCCTGTAACCCCAGCACTTGCGAGGCTGAGGTAGAAGCATCCTGAGTTTGGAGCATCCTGAGTTTGGAGCTAGTCTGGGCTGCTTAGCAAGTTTAAGGTTGACCTGGACTACATAGTGAGACCCTGTCTCCAAAAAAAATATAAAAGTTCTTGTTTTCTTACATTTTCAGTCTGCATACATATTGAAGAGAAGAAATGAATCCTCTAAAAATTGTTCCAGTATTTATAAAATATAATGTAATATATAAATAAGGCATGTTCTTTTTAGAAATTATAGAAAATAAAGGAAGGAAATCAAAATCAACTGTAACCTCACTTCTCAAAGTGAACGCAGTAGAACCTGGGTGTGTGTGCACCTGTACATATGTTCTTCCTGTTTCGGTCCTGAAATGAAACTGGTTTTCTTCCCTGCCCCCTCTAGTGTGGGCAGACCCAAGCACGTCCGTGTCATGGCAGGAGCCCTCGAAGGAGACATCTTCATTGGCCCCAAAGCTGAGGTAATTCTGGGTCCTACAGAAAAAGCTGCAGACCAGCATTATCCACACTAGACCTCACCTAGTAGTTGAGTATTAGCCTGGAACAAAATGAGCAGTTTTCTCTTAGAAGCTCCCTTTTGGTCCTTTTATCCTCAGCAGAGGCAGTTTATTTCTCCCAAGAGCAGCCTCTGGTATTCAAGAAAAAAATAGCTAGAACCCCACTGTGGGAAGCAGAGGCCTGTCACTACGCTGCCAGTGATCTGATTGAGGGGCTTGGTTTCTTTTTGGCCAAAGGGGTTCAGAGTGGAGATCCTGGCTGGCACAGCATGGGATGCGTTAATTTGCCCATCTGTGGCAGAGCCCCAGGCAGCCTCAGTAAGCAGAACAGCGGAGCCTTTGTGGCCAACCCTGGCTTCAAGTGCTGAGGCCAGAGGTGAGAGCCAAGAGACTGTGTCCAGGAACCGAGCAGTGAAGAGAGTGGTCCTGAGGCCACTAAAATGCAGCCACCCTGCTCTGCAGCTCCCTGGGCAGCAAGGACAGTGTGCAACACAGCCTAAAGACCTGGAGCATGGGGCTCAGGCTGCGGGGAGGGAGCTTAGGCCGAGGCGCCCGTGGGAGTGGCTCAGGTCCCTGCCTCCACTGCAAGTCCTGCTCTCTGCTGTAGGAGCATCGAGGGCTGCTGTCCATCCGCTACCCCATGGAGCACGGCATCGTCAAGGACTGGAACGATATGGAGCGTATCTGGCAGTACGTCTATTCCAAGGACCAGCTGCAGACTTTCTCAGAGGAGGTGAGTCCTGCCCATGCAGGGCGCCCCATCCCAGAGATGAGGAGGACATTGAAACTGGCAAGAGTGTTCGAGGCTGACTGTGTATCAGGCACCAGGCCAGACGCTTTTCAGACATGTCCATGCGTGTGTAGTGACGCACAGAACACCCGTCACACACAGACACACGTGTGCTGACACATAGAATGATGAATCACAGGTCAGTGCCAGGAACAGCTTACTACCCTGTAGCTCACACCTGGCCGCCTAATACACTCCAGCACTTGCACACTCCAGCACACACTTTTACCTAGTACTCCTTAACACAAGCATGTGAATGCAGCCTAAGTAGACCATGACACACATGTAGAGACCCACCTAACAGGCCACATGGCTCACAGCATGATCAAACCACACAAGGACTCACGATGGCCCTGGGGCACCCTCACACTGTTAACTCTCCGACAGCCAGGCGGGGTGGCACACACCTGTAATCCCAGATTCAGGAGGCTGAGCAGAAGGATATCTGTGAGTTACAGAAAGCCTGAACTACACAGTGAGACCCTATTGCCAAAAATTATATATATAAATCTAATTTTCTGTTTTACAGTACAGATTTTGTTTGTTTGTTTGTTTTTTGGTACTGGGGATCGAATTTGGGTCCTTGCACTTGCGAGGCAGGCACTGGAACCACTAAGCTAAATCCCCAGCCCTACAGTACAGATTTTTATGCTGGTTTTATTTTTGTTTTGTTTTTTCTTTTTTTGGTACCAGGGATCAAACTCGGGTCCTTGTGCTAACAAGGCAGGCAGCAGAACCACTGAGCTAAATCCCTGGCCCTATGCTGTGATTTTATCATGATTCAGAATTTAGAGTTAAACAGGCCGGGGATTTAGCTCAGTGGTTCTGCTACCTGCCTCACAAGCGCAAAGTCACAGGTTTGATCCCCGGTACAAAAAAGAAAAGAAAATTTAGAGTTAAACAAAATCTCTTTGTTTTTCTTAGAGCTAGGGATTGAACCCAAGGCCTGTACACTGCGTTATGCCCCCAGACCTTTCTTTTAATTTTTGACTTAGAGACAGAGTCTCACTAAGTCATTGAGTTGCCTGGGCTGGACTCGAACTTGGAATGCTCTCTTGCCTCAGGCTGACATGGTCCTAGGGTCACAAGCATGTGCTGCCATGCGTGGCTGTCAAATCTTGACATTGAGAGACACAAAGTAGTTACTTGGCCAGTAAGGGGAATTGGAGGGTGATGGTAAGGACAGAGTGAGGCTTCAGAGATTCAGAGGTTCAGAGGGGCATGACTTTGAAAGTGGAGAAACCAGTGTGGGCAGGCTTGATGACAGGCCTTTTGGGAGGGAGTCTGACAGAGGTCCCATGGGCTCCCAACCATTGAGGCAGGGGCCTCTCCCCACTCCTGGTGATGGTAGAAATCTGGCGTTCACTGACTGCCTCCTGGGTCCCTTTCTCCAGCATCCTGTGCTCCTGACTGAGGCGCCTTTAAACCCACGGAAGAATCGAGAGCGGGCTGCTGAAGTTTTCTTCGAGACCTTCAATGTGCCAGCTCTTTTCATCTCCATGCAAGCTGTGCTCAGCCTGTGAGTAGGAGCCTGGCTGGCTAGTGGGCCTTGCAGGCAGAATTGTCCTGTGCACAATTGAGGCCGCCTCTCCTTTGGGCACTTCTGAGCTGCTGGGAAGGGTTAGAGATGTTGGGAGAGGCTAGGAGACTTGTTGGAACTGGATACTGAGGTTTCCCGGTTGGGAGTAACAGAGAAGTTGTGGCTTGGACCGAGACGGTGTCTAGTCCTGGGACTCTGGGTTTGTAGAGCGAGGCTGTCCACTGGGTGCGGAGGCCAGCTGCTTCCTGAAGCCCTGAACAAATCTGAGCCTTCCTCCAGCCTCTACCCTGTGCCAAGAGCTCTGCAGGCTGCTGCTCCAGGTCCAGCTGTGACCCACACAGCGCCGCAGCCCCTGCTTTTGTTCCCTCATTGCTGTCCCACTCCACACCCTGCCCCACACCTGCCTCAGTCTGCTGCATTGGACTAGTTTGGTTCCATTAAAAATGTGTGAGCCAAGCTGGGCTTGATGGCACATGCCTGTAATCCCAGCACCCAGGAGGCTGAGGCAGGAAGATCGCTGTGAGTTCAAGACCAGCCTGGGCTACATAGTGAGTTCTAGGTCAGTCTCAATGACATAGTGAGACCCTGTCTCAAAAAACAAACAAACAAACAAACAAAAACTGTGAGCCAGCATTTAAAAATTAGGAGTTTTCATATCAAAATCCCAATTGCTGGCTTCTCTGGAAAAATGGGAAAAGTGGTAATGCAAGGCTTATGTCCCTGTAGGGCAAAAAACAGCTGGAGCTGCTAACAGCTACCATAACAGATAGGGCTTGCAAGCTGGCCTCAGCACAGTCCACTGCATTCCCTGCTGTCCTCTCCACCAATGCACAGTACCCATGACTATTTAGCAAACATTGGCTTTGCCCTCATATCAGAACTATAGGGCTGGGGATTTGGCTCAGTGGTTCCTCCGTCTGCCTCGCAAGCACAAGGTCCTAAGTTTGATCCCCGGTACCAAAAAAAAGAAAGAAACAAAAAAAGAAATATATTTGAGGGCTGGGGATGTATGTAGCTCAGCGGCATAGCACCTGCCTGGAAAGCACAAGGCCCTGCTCACACACACACGTATATATGAAGGGGTGGGTGTGGTGGTAATTCCAGCACTTGGGAGTCTAAGGCCAACCTGGACCCCTGTCTCAAAAAACCAAGAAAAGGGCCAGGGATTTAGCTCAGTGGTTCCACAGCCTGCCTCACCAGTGCAAGGACCCGAGTTCAATCCCCCATACCAAAAAAAAAAAAAAAAAAAAAAAAAAGAAAAAAAAAAAAAAAAAAAAAAAAAAAAAAGGAAGAAGAAGAAATATATATGAAAGAAAACTAGAGGCAGACCTGAAGGACCTGAAGGTCTTGTGAGGAAAAAGTAGGTCTTTATGGAAGTGAAAATTACAGTAGGCTTATTTCCTCAACCTATTTCCTTGTCTTCCTCAGCCCTGTAGGTCAGTTTTTCCTCTTATCGGAAAGTTAAAAGTGCCTCTTGGGCAGGGTCCCGGGAGCAGCTGGAGAGCAGGCCTCCTGCTGAGACCAGAAGGCAGGCCTGCATGCCCGGAAGCTGGGCTGTTTCAGGGCCTCACAGTGTGCAGTCCACACTGGCACAGGAGGAAGGCAGGCCAGGCTTCAGTTCAGCCATGCTGAGCCCCAGGGAGAAGTGGGTTCCTTCCTGGAGTGAGAGGCAGGGTCACTGATAGCCCCTCTCTGCTCAGCTATGCCACAGGCAGGACCACAGGCGTGGTGCTGGATTCTGGAGACGGCGTCACCCATGCTGTGCCCATTTATGAAGGCTTCGCTATGCCTCACTCCATCATGCGCATTGACATTGCTGGCCGAGACGTCTCTCGCTTCCTTCGCCTCTACCTGCGCAAGGAGGGCTACGATTTCCACTCGTCCTCTGAATTTGAGATTGTCAAGGCCATAAAAGAAGTACGTGCAGCCCCGGGGGCCTGGGGATGGGGACCTGTGAGTGAAGGAGGTGCAGCTCCTCCCTGGGCTTCCAGGTCTGCTGGCCTTCTGGCCTGCCCACTGACCGTCACCTTCCAGAGTGCTGCCCTGTTTGGAGGAGCAGCTGCCTCACTCTGAGCTGGGGGTCAGGGTGCTGGCGCTAATGCTTCCCATCCTTGGGGAAGTCAGATGCCTTCTTCTAAGTACACAGAACTTCCCTGCTATCTCAGGGTTGGTCACAGTGGTAGTGGAAGGAGAAGGATGTCTGGGCCTGGGTGAAAATCAAACTGTGGTCTCAGACCATGAAGAGGCGAGTTCCAAAAGAGCTCACTGGGAAGCGGGGAAGGTAAGCACCCATGCCTCATGTGCTTGCGGTGCAGCTCTGCCAACTTCGGCACGGTCACAGTGATGGGCAGCCTTCTGCAGAGGCATACCTCTGCCCTGGGGCCTGGGTGCTGAGTGTCTGCTTGGTTCTGCAGAGAGCCTGCTACCTGTCCATAAACCCCCAGAAGGATGAGACGCTGGAGACAGAGAAGGCTCAGTACTACCTGCCCGACGGCAGCACCATCGAGGTAGGGGCTGTACCGCTGCCTTTCCCCTCAGGCCCGCCAGAGCCTGCCCGGACAGGACTCTCGAAGGGCTGGAGCCATAGTACTCTGGAGTGGCGACCAGGGCCCCGAGTCCCGCAGAGGAGCAAGATCTCCGTTCCTCTGTGGAGGAGAGGAGCCGCCAGGGTAATGTCCCAGGTCAGGATGGACTAGGGAGCAGGATGGTTCATGCTGTAAGGTGAGTCGCCACCCTGGAATTCCCTCTGATAGAAAGAAATCTCCACTAGTGAATGAATCCATATAATGATGCCAAAGACCTGGTCTCCCAGGAGTGCTTCTGGTTCCTTCTCCCTGTCTGTTCCCAAGGCTCTTGACAGATAGGGCCTGTCTTGACCCCATCTTCAGTAGCCACCTGTGTGCTGTAAGATGGGTAGAGAAGCCTCTTCCTTTCACACTTGCAAAGAGCCCTCAGTGCCAGCCACCACCTGTGAAGCTGCCCTTCACTCTGTAGATCGGTCCTTCTCGCTTCCGGGCCCCGGAGCTGCTGTTCAGGCCAGACTTGATCGGTGAGGAGAGCGAGGGCATCCACGAGGTCCTGGTGTTTGCCATCCAGAAGTCCGACATGGACCTGCGGCGCACACTTTTCTCCAACATTGTCCTCTCAGGAGGCTCCACCCTGTTCAAAGGTGGGTCTTTGCTCTTGGAGCCCTTTCCGGAACCAATCCAGCTTGGCCCAGGCACCCCAAGAACTCACTTGAGAATCTCCTTTCCTGCACATCCAGGTTTTGGAGACAGGCTCCTGAGTGAGGTGAAGAAACTGGCTCCCAAAGACGTGAAGATCAGGGTAGGTGCTCAGCCCCTGCTAGCCCCGCCCAAGCTCCAGCTTCTGCAGCCCAGGGGAGACACTCCTTTTCACTCAGAAGGAGAGCAGTTTGAGGGTCCCAGTATGGCAGGGCACCAGGCGGGCCTGGTGGGCCTTCAGTTGTCCGAAGATTGACTTTGCTTCTGCTGTCCCCCAGCCCCATAACTGATCCGGCATCGGAGTACTTCTCAAGGCAGGAGGGTCCTAAATGAAGGCGTGCAGTTCTTGTATGAGTGTGTGTCGCTGCAGCACCTCCAGAGGGAGTGGAGCAGAGCTGGTTGTGTGGAATGCACAAAACAGGCGGAAGGAGGGAGGGAAACAGAGGGGGAAGTCTCAGCTTTCTCTTCCCCTTGCCTCTGCAGATATCTGCACCACAGGAGAGACTGTATTCCACATGGATTGGGTGAGTAGCTCTTCAGGGAATAAGAACAGAACCGGAAGCAAAGGCACTGATTACCCTGCATCCTTGTCCCTTTAAAGAAAGGCCCCGATCTGGCTTGGCCTGGGGACTGCCTGGCTCTAGGCTTCACTCTCACGCTGCTCCTTTGGACCCTCCACCCAGGGGCTCTATCCTTGCCTCGCTGGACACCTTTAAGAAGATGTGGGTCTCCAAGAAGGAATATGAGGAAGATGGTGCCCGCTCCATCCATAGGAAAACCTTCTAATGTTGAGATGTCATCATCACCTCTCTCTGAAGTTAACTCCACTTTAAACTCGCTTTCTTGAGTCGGAGTGATTGTGAGGAGCTGCCTGTGTGTGTGAGCGTGTGTGGGGGTACGAGTGTGTGCACAAATGTGAGTGCCATGCGGCCCAGGGACCTCCGGGCCCAGAAAGGACGATGGTTACCCATGATGGTGACAGCGAGGCCTGGGCTTGACCACTAGGGCCCTGGCAGGAAGAATGCAGGCAGAGGCCACTCCTCCTCTGGACCTGCACATGGCTCTGTGGGATTCGGTCGTCATGGGAGACTGGCTGCTGCCCACCCCGGGCTGGCTGGCCTCTCCCCCAGGGTGCCCCAGGCCTGAGCCGCTTCCTGTCCTTGGCCCCTCCTGCTGTCCTTGCCTCTTCTGGTGGACCGTGGACTGGGACTGGGGTGAAGTTCTGTCTGGTTTGGTTGTCTGTCAGCCGTGAGAGGCTGTGAAAGGACTTTGGGGTTGGTAGGGTGCCCTCACGTCCACTTGGCCTGGGACCTCACCGGCTGTTTGGAGAGGGCAGTCATGCCGCCTGTGATTGGCTGCAGTTAGTGCCCCAAGCCCAGTCCATCCCTGGGGTCTCAGAGCTAAGGAAACCGTCAGCTCCCAGTCCTGTTACACACTTCTCATCTATCCTCATTTCAACACCATCCTAACAGGTTTATTTATTGAAGTATTTGCTCAGTGAGGGGCCTGGGGGTCCAGGGCTCCCACCTTCTGCCTGCCAGCCACCTTGTCACACTGATGTTTACAGGGTAGTGTCCAGGGCCCACACTCCCTGCTGACGGTGAGCCGACAATATCCATAGCTACGCCCCAGAGCTCTCTGGGACTGCAGTCACTCAGCCTCTTTCCTTTTCCACTTGCTCGCTGTCCTGGAACCAACAGGCTGGTTGCCGGTTGAGTTTTCTGAAACAGGAGGTAGAATCAGCGGCGGAGCCCCTGGCAAGGGAGAGCTATTGGAGATCCAGTCCCTCAGGACTGGAGAAAGCTGCAGTTTACCAAGTTGCCTTTTGCATTCTGACAGGGGCAGCAGGTGGAAGAGGCAGGAGGGCCCCTGAGTGAGCATGTGAGGGAAGGGCTGGGCCAGAGAGGGCCAGGAGCTGACGGCTTGGGCCATGTACAAAGCTGGGTGAACCTGTCCTTGCCTGTGACCCCAGGCCCACCCAACCCGACCCCAGGCAGTATTCTTTCCTGTGCCGTCCTGTGACCAAGGCCCTCAGGCGTGAGTCGAAGCAGGTGTGTATGAAAGCGATGTGGCAACTGCAAACTGCAGTGCGCTTAACCAGCTCACCCCCCTCAGCCCAGGCCTGTCTCTCGCGCAGCCTCGCACAAACCACCTTGCCTGGTGGGGCCCTGTGTACTTAAATAAAGTTGTTCCGATAGACACCGTGGGGCCTCTGTGTGTGGGCAGTGCACGGCAGGAGGGGTGCAAGGTGCCCAGCCTGGTCTGTCTCTGGGGGCATTGTTGGCAGCCAGGCCAGACCCGAGCACCACGCTGGCAGATGGGTAGAGCTACCAGGGTTCACGCCAAAACCCAGGTTCAAAGCTGAGGGTCTGACTCTTCAGACACTCGAGCCCACAAGTGAGACTGCTGACAGGAGCACTCCGGGCTACATAGTGAGACCCTATGTCAGCAAAAAGTGGGTGGAGGGCTGGGGATTTAACTCAGTGGTTCTGGTGCCTGCCTTGAAAGCACAAGGGCCCAACTTCAATTCCCAGTACCGAAGGGGGGAAAAAAAGCTGTCAGACACCACAGGATTCTCTGGCCCCAGGATCCCTGTTTCCTCTGCTAAGACTCAGCAAATGCAGTGGTTTTCGACCCCAGCAGCAAGGTAAAATCAGAGGTTTTCAGGCCCCAGCATCAGGCCACTCCCCAACTCATTAAGCTAGACTGGGAACGAACTCCCCAGAAACTGAAATTCCCCGTGGCTCCTGTGCGGGAGCCTCTGGCCTAGCACAGGCCCTCTGTTGTCTGTGCTGGGCACCCAGCAACCTGCATTCTTGTCCTGAGTCTAGAAAACTGCTCCTCCTAGGGTGCTTTCCCTGCTCAGTGAGGAATCATTTCGTTTTGTTTGTTTTTTTGAGACAGGGTTTCTCTGTTTGGTCCAGGCTGGCCTTGAACCACTACATAGCTCAGGCTGGCCTGGAACTTGCAGCAGTCTTCCTGCCTCAGCCTCCCAAGTACTAGAGTTACAAACCCTTGCCACCACACCGTGTGCTCAGTGGGCAGTCTTGTTTGCCAGGCTACCACTCACAGCACAGACCTGAGGAATATGAATGACAGGCTTTAATCACTCAGTAACAAAATGACTCTTTAGAGATGGCACAGCTGCAGGGACAGGGAGCCACGTGAGGGAAGAAGGAAGTACCTGACACAGCTTCCCCTGACTGGGCAAAGGAGAAGTCACAGTCCCAAAAGTGGCTCCTGAGGTCACCAGAGGGGCCAGCCCCACCCAGGCAGGGTCAGGGGCCTTTGGACCCACCTCAGGGGTGCGGCCCTGTCCCTGCTGGTCCCCTTCATCCGGCCCAGCCCTAACAAGCAGAGCCCAGCAGACCTCACTGACAGTCCTGGCTCGGTGCCCGGAGCTGCCATCTGCTGTCCGTCCTCCAGGTGGGCCCGGCAGTCCTCAGCATGGCGGCCTCACCACACCTCACACTGTCTTAATGTCCAGGGTCTGGACCTGTGCTAGACTCTGGCGCTGGGCCTTGACCGTACGCAGGCGCTGCCCGTGCAGCGTGAACCGGGACCAGGTGAGCAGCTGCAGCAGGGCGCAGGTGATGGGCACCAGCACCAGCAGGTAGAAGCAGCCCTGGCGGAGTGGGGCCTGCGCCGGGGCTGGAACTGGGGGCTCTGGCTGGGGGTGGGCACTGCCCACAGGGGTCACTGGGGGCTGCTGGAAGAGGTCGTGACCTAGGGTGAGCATGGGAAAAAACGTGTTCCGCCCGGTTCCCCTCGAGTTCACGGGGCGATGACTCCGGAGGCCTCCCAGACCTCCCCCGTTGCCTTCTGGTCAGTCGCACCACCATGGCTCCAAAACTCAGGCAGAAACCTCTCAGTCCGCCTCGACTGCTGTTTAACTCCTCGACACCCACCATGTGTCTCTGTCCTGCTCTGACGGGCACCCCACACAGCCACACCTCTATCACCTCCCCAGGCAGCCAACACCAACTTTTCAAAGCGTTGCTCTGACTATGCCACTTCCCTGCTCTCCTGACAGCTTCCCGAAGTCCAAACCCTGCTCCATCCGCAAAGCCCTCTGCTTGCCAGCCTCACCTCTGACCCCAGTCCTGGAGGCCACTTGCCATTCCCTCTACCTGTGACTCCCTGGAACTTCTGGACCACCCTTTGCCACCCCACGCACAGCCGAGGCTGCCTCCTGGGGAGGCCCTCCCTGAGTGCCCGGGTCACACTGTCCATCTCACAACTCCGAGAAGTTCTTGGTTCTCTGCTTATTGCCAACCCTGGCTCTACCTGATGAAAGTGAGGCTCCATCGTAACTGCAAAGACCCTGTCTGCCTGCTGCACCACTGGCTCCCAAAGCAGGACCTGGAGGGATGGCATTCTGCACCATTCTGCTGAATGACTGACTGAGACTCGGTCCCTCTACCCTACATGGGAGGTGACCGGAGGTGTCGGGTGCCAGGGGCTCTCTCTGCCTCCCTGGACCCAGAGCCAGGGCTTGTAGCTGGTACCCCAGGGAAGCTATGCTCCAGGCCTTCACCTGTGTAGAAGCAGAGAAGCCAGGTGCCCAGCAGCGGGGCAAAGGTCTGGCCTGGCTTGGTCACCAGGGCCACCATGCCAAAGAGGAGCGCTGAGGCTGCCTGTCTGCGGTGATTCAGCACCAGGTCCTCATCCACCAGGTCGGTGACCACAAGTGTCAGCAGCTTACAGGTGCCCTCAGTGAAGACACGGTTACTGCCAGGGAGAGAGCCGGAGGGAAGGCAGGGGAGGGGAAGTAAAGAGTTCAGAGGTGTTGCGCCCATGTCCCAGCTCCCGGAAGAGTGCAGCTGGGCGCTGCAGATGCAATCAGAATGAAGGGGCGGGGCAGGTGTGGAGACAAGGGCGGTGGCCGGGGACACACCTGGCAATGAAGAAACAGAGCAGGCCCCGGTGGTCTGGGCCAGCCACCAGCATGAGCAGGCTGAGGCTCAGCTTGAGCAGGAAGAGCCCCCGCACCACCACATAGACTCCCCAGCGCCGGCAGAGCGGCAGGAAGTAGAGGTTGTTGAGGTGAGGAGCAACGTAGGAGATGCCTGGGAAGGAGGAGGGCACCATCTTATCAAAGGCAATGCCGCAGCCTTACAATATTAGAGCTACTAGCCAGGCACAGCACAAGCACTGTCATCCAGCACTCAGGAGGCTGACGCAGAAGGGTGCCATGAGTTCAAGGCCAGCCTGAACTACATAGCAAGATACTGTCTCCAAAAATCAAACAAAACAACAATCAGTGCTACTGTGTGCAGTGCTTTCACACGAACAGTGCTCTGGGCTGTGTGCATTGCATACTTTTGTTTAGTCTTCACAAGCCCTGGAGGTGAGTACAGTTGTCCCAGAGGACTAGTTCCAAGGCCCCCAAGGGATAGCAAAATCTGAGGATAGGATTTCCACACAGCCAACATACACCCTCCCACTTTGGATCATCTCCTGCTCACTTACACAACCTAATGCCACGTAAACGCGATCTGTGCAAAGAGCTGTTGTACTGTAGCACTAGAGAACGATGCAAGCAAGATTCTCTTCCCAGTATTGCCCTCTGTGTTTGGTCGAAGCCATGCATACGGAGGCCACAGATACAGGCACACGAGAAAGACGCACAGACTCTGCCACAGCCCGACCTGGAGACGTGGTCCTCACACTCCCGGCCACCACACCCCAGGCTCTGGGCAGCAGCACCACCAAGGGGACCACAGGAGGGCATTCCTGCCCATACCAGAGGCAGGAAAACGGCAAAGCCTCGACCAGCGAGGTGGCCATGCCGCCAGACGGGTGCAGGGCACTAGGCACAGCCCGGCACAACTCACCCAACAGGAAGGAGCCAGCAGAGAGGGAGATGCGGTCCGACAGCAGGTGCTCCAGGAAGAGAGGGAAGAAGTTGCTGTTGAAGTGGCAGTGAAACACCTGCAAGCCACAGGGCGATGGGAGGCCTGATGGGCAGAGCCACAGCAGAGCACGCACTCTCTGTCCCGTGCCAGAACACGGACATGCCACAACAAGGCCTCACACCACACTCCTGATGCTTGTCTAATTTCAGTAAGTTAGACATGATAAAATAGCAGTTAAAGCAAGTTTTTTCCAAGACACAGACTCATTAGCATTGCAGTCACTATGTAGCCCACGTGGCAGCAATCCTCCTGCCTCAGCCTCCCAAGGACTGTGATTACAGACCTGAGCTACCATGCCCAGCTAAATTTTTCAATTTAATTGAAAATATCTTAGTAATAATACAAGTCCTTTTACTCTTTTGGGGGGGAGTTGAGACAACATCTCACTCTGTAGCACAGGCTAGCCTCCAACTCGCAACAATAATCCACCTGCCTCAGTCTCCCAACGGGTGGGATTACAAGGAGGTTAAAATCATCCTAAGACCATACGGGATGAAGGTATCAGAAGGTACTAGAGTTCAGGTCTCCCAAGATGTCAACCTGGCTCCTGCCCAAGCGAGGCACAGCGGTCAGCCGTGGGGAGGGGTGCCGCGTACCTGCACCAGATCCATGCCCACGAACCACAGGAAGTTCTGGTGGCGCGCCAGCTGCCGGAGATACTGGCCCAGGGTGATGCTGCCAGCTTCCTCACCGTGGACCAGCAGCTCCTCTCTGCACAGCCTGTGGGGCAGAGGAGCTGATAACTGCGGGCCGGGCCAGAGGCAGCACCCAGGGTGGCCACCACCAGCCAGGGACCCGGCATCCAAGTCAGACTCTAAGCTGGAAAGGCCCGGCAGCCACTCACCCGCCGTCCCCTGCCAGGGCTGCACAGCCCGAGCCCCTCCTGGCCGCCTCCACCCGCCGCTGCAGCAGCTGCGTGGCTCCCAGAAAGCCCAGCACAGAGCCAGCTGCCAGTGCCACACAGAAGGTGCGGAAGGAGGAGAAGTTCTCCTTGTTCCAAAAGGCATAGGAGGCAAAGACGGAGAGGGAGCCAGCCGCACTGAAGAGGGAGCAGTAGAAGTTGAGGTGGGTGCGGTCGTGGGCCGAGATGGCCAGGTCAGCCAGCAAAGCCTGATGATGCAGGTCCACGAGCGTCAGGAAGCCGTCATAGAGGCACAGGCACAGCAGGAACTGCAGGCCAGCGGGGGCCCAGGGCACCCAGAATGCCAGGAACGAGAGCGCCAGCAGCGGCCCGTGCCGGCCCAGGGCCTGCACCCGGGTCAGCACTACTGCCCGGGAGGAGAGCCCGGCGCCTGCCCTGCAGGGAGAACGGGACTGGGAACAGCCCTTTCCCTTTCCGCAGGGGCCACCCCGCCCCACAGCACAAACCAAGGGTGGGGCCTGGGTTTGGGCTTCACTCCAGGGCCCCCGCCCCTCACACAGGCCACAGGAGTGGGGCCCACGGCTCGGGGCTGGGGACGGCAGTGAGCCGAGCCGGGAGGGAGAGCAGCAGCAGGAATGCAGGCTGCGGGGGACAGCACCTGCCCCGGCCGAAAGGGAGGGTCCACATCTAACCCCGAACTGGCCCCCAAACCAGGCCGCCGTCCCACTCTGCAGTCACACGGCATCCCCAGGTCACAAACCGAGGCTGGGAGCTGAGGAACTGGCGGTCACTGAGCCACCCGAAGAGAGGGTCGTTGAGGCTGTTCCACAGGAGAAACACTGTCTACGGCAGAGGGAGCGGGTGGGCGCCAGGCGCGGGGAGCCCCTCATCCAGTCACCGCACCCTCAAGACTCCCCAGCCAGGGCCCAGCGGGTGGCGAGCGTGCAGCCCTCCTGTTCTACAAGGGGCCCACAGCGGTTCAGGGACAGCCTCTCCGCGGGCCCCTGGGGACACCTGCACTCTCCAGGCGGCAGCCCTACCTCTCCAACCCAGAAGGCCGTTCTGTTGATCTTGTACACTGAGACAAAGGTGTCCACGTAGTACAGCAGGAACACGTTGTGCAGGCTGGAGGTGAACAGGGCCAGGGAGCCATAGATCACGGCCGTGGGCAGTCCCGACAGCCAGGCCCGGGGCCACGCCAGCGCCATGGCTCAGCCCTGCTCAGCCCCGGGAGGGCAGCCTGGCCATCCCGCCCGGCAGGAAGGGCTGGACAGCATGAGGGGTGACGCCCGCACTGCGCATCTCCACCCGGAGAGTCTGTGCCTACAACGGGAGGAAATCAGCGAAGTACAGCAGAGGCCACGCCGCGCAAGGCATCGCCAGTCTGGTAATAAGGGAGGAGCTGAAGCCGGCGCGGCTTCTCACACGCATACTGCACGCCGCTGGCCTGGTGCCAGAAAATGACCCAGCCTCTTTCTTTTTTCTGTAAAAGGCAAAAGGGGAAGATTATGCCTACTCTACAGAAGAACTTAAGGATTAAAGGAGAGAAGGGAAGGCAAGAAGGTTATAAAAAAGAATTAAGAAATGTCTGGGGCAACCCACTTTCCGGTCCCCCTACTGTCTCTCTTAGAAGCTTTCTTTCCCTCAATAAATGTTTCCTACTCTTAAAAAAATTTTTATCTGCATGTACCAACTTCCCAGGATGAATGTAATCATTATGTTCTACAAACATGTACCAATAAAATAAATACTTTTAAAAAAGGATTTAATTAAAGCTCGGCGTGGTGACGCATGCCTGTAATCCCAGCACTTGGGAGGCTGAGGCAGGAGGATCCCTGCTGAGTTCGAGACCAGCCTGAGCTACATAGTGAGTTCCAGGTCAGTCTCAACTATATAGTGAGACCCTGTCTCAAAAAACCAAAAAATAAAAACAATTTTTTAAATTAAAAAAATACAAAGGATTTAATTAGAGGAGGATGGACGGAGGGGAGGAAAGGGAATTTCTAAAAAACAAGCTATATTAGGCCGGCGATTTAGCTCAGTGGTTCCGCCACCTGCCCTGCAAGTGCAAGGTCCTGAGTTTGATCCCCGGACAGCAACAAAAACAGCAAGCTATATTATGTACATATACCAACTCCCCAGTACAACTATAAAATGTATGGACTGCAAGCATGTGCTAATAAAATAAAAAATTTTAAAAACAGGATTCAGTGAGGTAGCTCACAGTAAGTGCTCAATAAATGGGTATTGGTAGTATCATTATTATCTTTACAAAATCTCTACAAAGCCATACATGGCTATAATCCTAGACTCAGTAGGCTGAGTCAGGGAGATTACAAGTTCAATTTGGGCTACATCAAAAGTTCAAGACCATCCTGGACTGCACAGCAGATCCTGTCTCAAAAGAAAATAAATAAATCCTACATAGTAAACAGGAGGATGATCTTGAGTTTGAGGTCAACCTGGGCTAGAAAGTTCAAGGGCAGCCTGAACTACATAACTACATAATCATTTTTGGAAAGAAGGAAAGAAGGAAAGGAAGGCAGGAAGGAAGGGGGAGAGAGAGAGAGAGAGAGAGAGAGAGAGAGAGAG